GTCTACCATCACCTCGCTAACTATAGTTACTTTTATTTTGAAAGTGTTTCCGGTTACATTCGCTTCCAAAAAAGGAATGGACCACGTGACTTCCCGTTTTTGGTTTATAAACGAAAAACGAATTGACAGAAGTTCAAAGACTCACTTCATTCTTTGTTCAAAAAGGAATAACGATAAAATGATCCCCAAAAAAACGAAAAACGGGCAGTTTTTAATTGGTCTCTCGTTTTTTTATTCTGACACCAAAAACGGTTATTTGTTTTTTCTATTTGAAAAAAAAACAAAAAAAACTGTATTTTCGTTTCATAATTACAAACGAATTACGGATTATCCAGAGATCCCCTGACCATAATTAACAGGAGTGTAATTCACATGAATTCACCACAGTTCGATCAAGACATTGGACTTTTTAAAATTACATAATGTATTTGTTTATTTTAACAAATCGGGAGGCAGTATACAATACAATGATACAATCAATTTTTCATAATTTTCCCTTAGTTCATACATCCAACAATATATTTCATTTTAACACTACATGTTTGCCAGAGGTTTTCAATTATTTATCAAAGGATTTTAATCAATGCAAATAATTGAATAAAAGGTTTTAACAGAAATGAGATAATTAACAGCAGTGTAATGCACACAATTCACCACAGGAGGGCGTTTAGACGTGAGTCTTTAAATTGATATTACAGATATAAGAATATATTTCCATTAAACAAAAGCGAACTTTTCTAGATTTTTTTTACTATGTCGCTTTAACTTAATAATTTATCAAACAATGTGAAATAAATGCAAAGTAAGTGCAGAGTTTAGTGCAGTTTTCCTCTGGCGCTCTGAATACGGTTCAGCAGTGTAATTCACACAGTTCACCACAGGAGGGCGATTAAACTCCATTTTCAACAGAATATCGCAGACAGGGGTGGGCTAAGGGGGCTGTTTTCAGTAAAGCCCCGAATGTTTTTATTTCCTTGCATTGTACACACCATCACTGAGAGAATTTAATTAATTAAATGTATATTTCTCGACTCTCGCATCACAGCGTCCGTCAACATACGCATTGTCATTCACAACCGACAAGAACCGCCCACTCAGGCTAGTGCTTCTGACTGACATGTAAACTGGCCAACCATCGATGAGAAGCTCGGCGGTCTTGTACGATCCAGCCAATGAAATTAAATATTTTGGAGCCAGGTGTTTGTTGATGTGCAAGAAGTTAGTAATGAACGAGTAAAATGGATGGTATCAAAGTTCTTCCAAAAAAGAAAAGAAAAAGGAATTAAAACAACCCCCAGCCATTACTAAAACAAGATAGGCTACAACAGCTTCAGCAGGTATCTGTAACTTTTAATCGTAGTATTAGATTTCTTTCTTTAGATTGTCAGATTTTTTTTATTTATTTTTTATTATGCTTAGGAACAAACAAAGATGACAATCATAGCACATAGTATACAAGTCTGTTACAAAATAGCATACAAATCTGTTACAAAATTGCATAGAAATCTGTTACAAAATTGCATACATATCTGTACAAAATATGACAACAATATGTACAATCATCTTAACACAAGTGTATGACTATCTAAAACAAAAAAGAGAAGAAAGAAAAGGAAAATAAATAAATAAATGAGGGTCAAGAGGCCAAGAAATTCTATATAAAATTCAGAGTAGGTCTAACCAAATTAAAGTCATTACAAAATAAAAGTGTTTTTGTTGCTTTCTTATTTACTGAGGATGAGATGGTGTCAAGGTACATTTCAAACTCTTTCAAAAAAAAACTATAAAAATTGGTTTGTTGTTGTAAAATTTACATTTATGGATATAGAATTTCCCAATAAAATAGATTAAATTGGTAACAAAGCAGGCTTTTTTTTATTATCCAGATCAGAGTCAAAGTATCCAAAAATTATGTCTTTAAAGGTTTCTGAAATATCTTGCTGGATATTATCTTTAATAAGCTTGCCAATATTTCCCCATAGTTGTTTAGTATAAAAACAAGGCCGAGATAAATGATAAACAGTTTCTGTGTGAACTTGGCAAAATGAGCATCTTGTGTCAATATTACTTTTATATTTAATCATGAAATATTTAGCAGGGTAAAATGTATTTATTATTTTGAAGGATACTTCTTTTACTTTATTTGTTAGATATACATTTTGATCGTCAAACACTTTGTGCAGCACAGTCAATAGGACGTGCACGCGCGGCGCACACACAAAAGGTAAGGTAGGTAGTCTTATTAGTCTTTAAAATGTAATGTGTGCATGAAGAATGGGTCAAGATTTATTTATTTTTTGTTATTATAGAGATTCTTATGTCACCTCTTTTTATCTATTCTCACAAAAATCATGTTGTTAAGTAAATGCTATTTATTAAAACAATAATAGAGCTGAGCTTGCCAACCATGTCTGAGATGAGTCAGCAAGGAAAGAAGAGGGTGCGTGGCATTGTGGTTTTTAATTTTAATTAGCAAGAAATATTCACCTTATTAAAAAAAAAAAAAAAAACATTTCATTTAAAGTTTATTCCTTGTATAGTGACACATACATGGATTTCTCTGGGTTAAGCCCCAGATATCCAATCACCCTAGAACCGCTCCTGATCGCGGATGTAAAATATATTTATAGAAAATTTGAAAGGTAATTGCCAGATGTTTTACTGCGTCACATGGCAACCAACAATTTATTAAATGTTACAAAATATTGTAACTCAAAGTTTTCCTCTGACTGCAGTCACAGCTGTAAAGTTGCAGCAGTGTAATTCACACAATTCACCACAGGAGGGCGACTGGCCAAGTTGTCTTGTTTTAAAGTTTTAGTGCTTAGCTTTTTGTGTTCAAAATGTTCAAAGGTTTATATAATGAGCGGGTACATGTATCAGTTGTCCAAATCGTGCTTTGTCTTATCCTGAATCACTGTGGTACACCTATAATAAGCGTTTATGTTCGGACTATTTTATACTGGTTCTGGTCTTACCGCTGCGGAGTAGCACAGGACCTGCGTGACTCGTCATTCATGTTTGGTTCAATATTAAATTATACTCTAACTTAACGTTACCTTTGGCTCGTGGAGAGAATAATATTCGTTTGAACTTTTTTCATTTCACGTGAACACACACCAGAATTCTTGCAGAGTCGATTTATCTATTTCGCTGACTCAAATCTTTAAATGTTTATGAGTAAAATGACATCAGTGTAATTCACACAGTTCACCACAGGAGGGCGTCAAGATAAAAACAAATGTTCGTCTTAACCCTAAAATCGTATTCTGGACAAATGTGGGCAAAATAGTTTTGATTTATTTTTAAAAATACTTCCCTTGATCTGAGCGGTACAAGACTTGGCTGCTTTTCCTAAGTTTGCCCCCTGAACACACACAATATATATATATATATATATATATATATATATATATATATGTATATTTTTTTTGACTCAATTCTACAATGTTAAGTGGGTGGAAAAAAACCTTCTTAATCTTGTATTTGGGTCAAAAATGGGCACCCATAGAAATGAATGAGGAAAAACTGTAATTTAGAGCATTCTAAAATAAGCCAAAATAAGACACCGGCTGACAGCAAAGTCACTTCATCTTTAGGTTTTACATTTGCCAACAAATACTACATCGTGGATTAAAGTCCATATTTTGTTACATTCAACACAAAATAACATTAAAATGTTGTTTCAGTGGTGTAATTAATACATTTTACCACAGGAGGGCGTTTTCAATTCAAATTTAAAAGTACGTACAATTATTATACCATAAATAAAAGGGGTCATATGTTTCATGTGGAAACGAACGATTTATTTAACACGAAATCAATGTAAAATAATGTAATGCAAAGTTTTCCTTTGACTTGAATTAAGGGTTAATCCAGCTTGTAGTTCTCATTAGTTACTTGTGTGTGAAACCCACTTGGTCAAAAATGAGCCGGGACTTTCAGATCTTTTAGCGCTTTTTGGGGGTTTAATTCTGTTTGGTGAACCACCGGGTAAAGGCAGTGCTCTGTACTTGTTTTGGTACTTGTGTAAAGTAAAATAAAAGTGTTTAGTTTTTTATTTTTAGTTTTTCTCCCTGGTACTCGTGTCAGGGCCTCCCCAATACCTGTCCTGGAGGATGTGAGCCTGTGCACTGTGTGGAGGGTTAAGGACTGATGATAGTAGCAGGACTGGCCCCTTCACCTACCGTCACTCTCTCTTCAAACAAATGCTGGACAGGCTGCAGGACAAAGCAGAACACCACTCCTTCCTCTGGCACCATAAACGGGCCTTGTTGTCACTTTCAGATATGTATGGTTTATGTTAAGCCACATCTTTTTGGATTTTGTGGCACTACTTTTGTGGAATTGAATGATGTCAGCTTATGACTTTACATTTTTCAACAAAAAAGGCCTAAGTCATTATGATGAATGGAGAAGAAGTGTTTTCCATTGAGCACATCAGTGTTCAACTGCTTCTTATAAATGTCTATTCATATGATGGTTTGTGTGTGTCATTTGAAAACAAAATACCATTTTGAGAAGAAATAACATTGTTTTGAATGTAAAGTTTCATTTTGCAGGAGAATTGAGGGGTTTTGCCCATTGTGTGAGTGTTTTTAGATTTGTGTGTAGAGTTCTGAGAATATGAGGCATTCTTTCAGAAAATGTGTGTAAACAATCGAGAAAAAATGTAACTGTGTTTTGGACCTTGAACCGTTTGGTTCCCATTGAAGTCCATTATAGGGAGAAAAATCCTGGAATGTTTTCATCAAAAACCTTAATTTCTTTTCGACTGAAGAAAGAAAGACATGGACATCTTGGATGACATGGGGGCGAGTAAATTATCAGCAAAAGTTTTTTCAAAAGTGAACTACTCCTTTAAGAAAGTGCAGATATAAGTCACTCACTATAAGTGTCTCGTCACATCTGTTAACGGATTAAAGTTGCTCCGTGTCTAGTGAGTGTGTGTGTGTGTTTACAGTTTACAGGAAGAGCCACAGACACAGTCCAGACACAGCCTGTGGAAAACGCTTTTATTCCCTGGAAAAACCGATGAAAGTGTTATAAAGGCAAACACTGGAAGCGTCGAGCGCCGTCTCCCACAATCCTGCTAAACATCAAGACACATCAGTGATTTAAGAGAAGGCACATTGCAAACTTTCAACAGCACAAACATGCGCTCATGTGAGCTTTCTTTGGCCTAGTTTATGTGCAAGCGTTCGTATTTCAGAAGCAGAGGAATGAATCGGAGCTCATTGTGTGTGTTATTTCCCCTCGTTCATCTCCAGCTGATCCGGCGAGCGCGAGGTGTGTGTCAGATGAGCTCAGACTCGTGACGCGCCAGAGCGGCGGGAAGGGTCTCCGAGCAACGGCCCGGGAAGTGAAACCTGCAACCAGATCAGATCTGATGAACGTCACATTCACCACTTCACAGCGTTTCGGGTCCAGCTCACGAGCTCACCTGAAGCGCTCTGTATTCGGCGTCCTCTTAGTGTTAAACTCGGCCACGGGAACGCCTCGGGACGCCACCTGTGGGCCGAACACGGCTGCCGGATACACCACAGAGGCGGTGCCCACCTGAGAGAGGACAGGGCACACCTCAGCCTCGGCAGTGTGTGTGTGTGTGTGTGTGTGTGAGCTGCACTGACCACCAGACACAGGTCACAGGTCTCCAGCTCCCGCTCCACTGCAGTGAGGATGTGCGAGTCCAGAGTCTCCCCGAACCAGATGACGTGAGGCCGCAGCAGCCCGTCACAGCCCTTCTGCTCACACCTGAGGAAGAGGAGGAGCAGGTCACGTCATCGACTGCTCCCGTCTCACACGCTGATCGATTGCTCCTGTCTGCCTTGCTGCTGGTTTGCGTCAATCTCTATTTACTATCGTTCTCGTTTATATTGATAAATATAACTTACTCATCAACATATATAAGATATTGTCTAATATTGCCTATCACATTAATCTGACATCGCTAGCTTTTATCCTGTTATCCTAGCCTGTTAAAGGAGTAGTTCACTTTTGAAAAAACTTTTGCTGATAATTTACTCACCCCCGTGTCATCCAAGATGTCCATGTGTTTCTTTCTTCAGTGGAAAATAAATTAAGGTTTTTGATGAAAACATTCCAGGATTTTATAATGGACTTCAATGGGAACCAAACGGTTCAAGATCCAAAAGACAGTTAATAACAGTTTCAGATGCAGCTTCAAATGTCTTTAAACGACACCAGACGATGAATAAGGGTCTTATCATGCGAAACGATCGGTTATTTCAAAGCTTATTCCAAAAATGTAATTTTTCTAAGGACAAATGCTAGCCTTGCTCTATTCTCTGAGGCGTGTTTGTAACGTCACGTAATACGTAATTACGTTCAAAAGGTCACGGGCGACGTAGCCGGAAGTACAGAATCAAAATCGTCCGACATCGTTGTTTTACCTTTTAATTCAGTTTCGACACCAGACGATGAATAAGGGTCTTATCATGCGATCGTTTCGCATGATAAGACCCTTATTCATCGTCTGGTGTCGTTTAAAGACATTTGAAGCTGCATCTGAAACTGTTATTAACTGTCATTTGGACCTTGAACCGTTTGGTTCCCATTGAAGTCCATTATAAGGAGAAAAATCCTGGAATGTTTTCATCAAAAACCTTAATTTCTTTTCGACTGAGGAAAGAAAGACATGGACATCTTGGATGACATGGGGGTGAGTAAATTATCAGCAAAAGTTTTTTTTGTTAAATTTCTAAGGTTTTTAAGGTTTCTTCTCCATTCTGTCCTGATGGAGTTTGAGTTCCTGCCACGGTTGCCCTTTTCCACCTTTGTTGCTACTGGCTTGGCTTGCTTAGTTGGGGACATTAAAGTTCACATTACAACAATAATATTGATCTGTTATACAATTACACTATTATACAAAAACATAACTGAGCTGACGATGACATCACGATTTACTCCACAGCAGCGGCGGATCGATGGATCGATGGATTGATGGATCGATGGATCCATCCATCCACCCATCCACCCACCCATCCATCCATCCAAAATTAAATTAATTACTTATTTACAACAAAAATCAATGAAACATCACTGAACTTAAGCTGGACTGTGACGCTATTTTCTTCTAGAAACAAACTTTTTTGCATTGTTTTCCAGTTATTTCTGTAAAGCTGCTTTGAAACAATATGTATTGTAAAAAACGCTATAAAAAAGGGGCTTGACACTCACACTCATGAACACACACAGGGTATATGGAGAAACAGGGTCTTCAGCAGTGTTTAAGTATTTCATCGTCATCAGCAGACACACACACAGACATTTTATAACAATTTAACAACAATTTATTCAAATTCTCATGATTAAAATGGAAAAAAAAATGGAATCAAGAATAATTAAAACGGTATTTGGGGGGAAATAAAAAGTGTTTTATGAGTAGGGTTGGGTATCGAGAATCGAGTATCGATTGGAATCGAGACTAACTTTTTGTTTTTCCCGGAATCGTTCAAAAGTTAAAATTTCGATTCCTAGTTTCGATATTCACAGTCCGCCGAGCGGAAGAAGAAACCGCTAAACAACACCAACGAAGAAGCGTCTACCGGAAGTGTTGGCATAACCGCGCGAGTCGAACACTACACTGTAAAAAAATATTGATGGTTTAACTTAAAAAAAGTAAGTAACCTGGTTGCCTTAAAATTTTAAGTTCATTGAACTGGAAAAAGTGAGTTAATACAATGAAGGAGATTCATTTAATCATTAGAAACTCAAAATAATAAGTTATCTCAACTAAATAAATTATTATAAAGTTGATTTGACATAAGAAAAAATGTTGTGATAACTACACTGTAAAAAAAATATTGTTGGTTTAACTTAAAAAGGTAAGTAACCTGGGTTGCCTTAAAATTTAACTGGAAAAAGTGAGTTAATACAATGAAGTAGATTAATTTAACCATCAGAAACTCAAAATAATAAGTTATCTCAACTAAATAAATTATTATAAAGTTGATTTGACAAAAGAAAATACGTTGTGATAACAAATCGTGAAAATATTTTTTACAGTGTAGTAGCTTCCACGTCAGCGATCCAAAGTGTGGCTTCACTTTTCTAAAAATAACGAAATCTCGGCAAAATGCAAAATTTGTGACAAAAGGAGTATTTCCTTCAGAAAGACCGTTGGTTAGCAAGGTTAGCTAAACTTTTTTGACCCTGCCTCTTAAAAGAATCGGAATCGAGAATCGTTAGGAACCGGAATCGAAACAAGGAATCGGAATCAGAATCAGAATCGTTCAAATTCAAACGATACCCAACCCTATTTATGAGGGACTTCAAAATGTTTTGTTAAACTTTTAATAAATTGCTGTTAAATGGTTCAATGATTCCATTAAAGTTTAGTGAAAAAAGCATGCATAAGATTTACTTTTGACAAAAAAAAAAAAAAAAAAAAAGAGATTTGGTTGGTAAATATTTGAGAGGGTGTGTGTGTGTCGGTGGTATTTAATAGGGTGTGTGTGTGTGTGTGTGTCGGTGGGATACCTGGGCAGGTCTTTGACAGGTATGAGTGCGTCGGGGACATCAGGGTCAGGTGACCTGTCAGAGAATGAGAAGTGTCAGGTGATCGCGCGTCACGGTGGTGTGGGTCTGCGGGCGAAGGGAACGATGACAGGACTCACCCTTTGCCCTCCAGTGACGGACAGATGGGGCTCTTGTGATTGACCTCCACATTTCCACAGCTCACACATCTGGTCTGATACTGGTTACCTGCACACAGAAACCACAGATCTGTCCAACTAACACAGAAAAGGGCAGATATTCACTTGGAGCGCTGGAAACGCCACTCGCTGGCGACCTCTGCTGGTCACAACACTGGAAACGTGCACGGAAACCTTCAAACCAATTACAGATGTTTTATTGAAAGTGTAAAATACCAAAATCACCATTAAATATGAAGTGTCATCATAATATGTTATTTTAATACATTTGAGGGATTTATGGTTTTATGGAGAACTTGTTTTTTTGTTATTCACTACTTTATGATCCTTTGCTAGAGAATTCATTGCGCCAGAAAGTAAACGCAATGTATACCGTCAGAATGAAACACGACCAGCATGTGAACTAAGATAAATATGACTGTTATTTCGTTTTAAAATAATAGTTATTGAAATCCATGTTGTTGTTGAATTGAGGATCATTCTATGGGTGTTAGCCTAAATCTTGAAACTTTCACCTTTACAAACGGGCCAATGTTGAATTTTGGTTTGATACTGAATGGTATTAGATGAGTTGTTAACCGCATAGTTTACACTTTCAATAAAACATTTGCAAATTGGTTTGTAAGAGATTTTTGTTGCATGTTTTTGCAGTTCTGACCAGCAGGGGTCGCCAGCGAGTGGCGTTTCCAGCGCGCCCAAACAGGGAGTCAGTTAACGAATCAATTCCTTCATTTCAATTTACATCTTTGGTGATTAGTTCAGAGATGAAAGAAAACACGCTGGTCTGATAAGAAGAAGAACAAAAAACAACTCTATCTCCCAGCGTCACGTCATTTAGCCATCAGTGATGACGTCACTTTGTAGGACAACCCGGAAGCTAGCGGCGCATGGGTTCCCTCGGTCGAAAAGCAATGCATTTTCCCCATAGACTTTTGGAAAATCGCAAAAAATAAGATCTGTGTTCAACAAAGAGTTGTGACCCTTACACGTTTTGTCTAGCAAGATAATCTTTACAAGTTAATCCAAAATGTATACATTTTGAAGCCTATATAAAGATTTAAAAAAAACACAATCAGACACAATAAAGTTTAAAAAACCACAAGCAGGTTATAACTGTGTGTTCTGTGTCATAGATTAAAACGTGAAAATATTTAGAGGCTTTGTTCACCACAGACCTTATTTCAGGCGATTTAGCAAAAACCCATTCAAAAATCCCATAGGCTTTAGAGCGAGGGATTTATTAACGGGGGAAAAAAAAGAACAATTACACAAAAACAAAATATTCCTTCTTAATCTTCTTTTTTTGTTGACAAAATTTTATATTCATAAATGTAAATTTGCAGGTCAGATACCACTTTTCAATGTTTTACTTATTGAAATACAACACTACTTTGGGACTATCTTTGACTCTTGTAACAAGAAGGCTTTAAAAACTGTTGAAATACGCAAGTCTTATAATCTTTTCCTTTGATATGTATTTTTTTTTCTGATTAGTATATACCCCTGTCTTGTAGTCTTTTTTGTTTTGTTTTCTGTTTATTTGTTTTATATTGTGATTGTTTTCTTTGAAAATGTTTCAATAAAAAAACAAAAACAAAACAACGGTAGTGCTAAAATGCTAACTCACTTCCGCGTTTTGGCCTACAGAGTGACGTCGTAACAGTTTCATGCTGCGTTCACGTGCTATGGAAAATCGGATATTTTCCACTTGTGAACTGGTATTTACCAGTGTGTTGCGTTCAAGTGCTTTTGTTGTCGTAATGTGGTAAAAAGATGGAGATCCAGACCTGTTATTTAGCTAAAACTATTTTAGATTGCTTAAATCATCTGCAACAGCAAGAAAATGATTTATCAAAACTCAAAAGGTAAATAATATGCTATATATTTTCTAGATCATGAATAGTATATAATATTTTTTACCATTCACGCCATTTTGAAATGGTCAAAGGTTATCTCATCTCGGCAACTCGTCCATCAAAATATTCTACGAGTTGCCCAGTGGTAAATACCACATGAGGGGGTGTTCATGTGCATTTTTCACGTATTTACCATGATTACCATAGCACATGAACGCAGCATCAGTTCACCTCTTAACGTTTAATCCCGTTCAGTCATTTACGGGAGTCATTGACAACTGCATTCAACAAACAAATTAACTCTGGAATATTACAGGTAGGCCTAGTGACATCCGCATTTACAATAAATCTAACTAACGTTACTAGGTTAACTGAACTAACAACTAGTTTAAGAGCTGTATGATGTTTTTTTTTCCTCAATCTGCTTTTTTAAACAGTTTTTTAGGTTTTCTGGATACCATCTTAATGGTAAAATCTTTAATAATAACATATTATTATTATTATTATTACATTGAATACAGACCTAGTGTTTTCAAAGCTAACGTGTAAAAACTAAGTCAAACGCCATTTACAAAAAAAAATAAAAAATGACCCCATTGAAGTCAGTATATGGAGAAAAATCCTCAAAAACATTTATTTTCGACTGAAGAAAGAAAGGATATCGTGGATGACATGGGGGACTATAGACTGTAAAAAAAGATGGACGACGCCCCTTCGCTCTTTTCCATCAGAGAGAACCGAGGCCGCCAGTGTCTCGATATGACGCTGACATCTTGGGACTTGAGTCTGCGCACTTGCGTGTTTCGGGACCAGTCATGCGCAGTCGTGAGCAGGAAGTAAATCCGCGAAATCAAGGCCGCGCCCTCATTCGCGCTGAATCAAACGCAAGCACACGCCCCGCACTTTCATTAAGTGTCCTCTGTCTGCTTCGTTCTTCTCCAATGATGTCTGCTGATTGCAGAACCTCGTTAAAATAAGGCAAATACAACTGCTAACCACATAATCAACATTATTAAAAAAGTCCGCTGGTGCTTCAGTGACTACCTCGCACAGAGAACCTGTCAATCACAGCTGTCAATCATGATGTCAGAGCACAGTTATTTTATCATCACATAACTAACTAAAAACACACTGATTTTAAAAACGAACACTTGAAATTACATCAACGTGGTAGAAACTACAGTAAATGACAGAAACTATCTTTGGGAAAAGGATATGTGAAGTGTAATTTAATTGTTTAGTTGGTCTCGCGTCCCATTGAATAACATGGGGAGGCGGGGGTTATGAGCTATACTAGGACCGGTCACAGGGGGGCGATCGAGATGTTTTGGCTTCACTTTTCAGGGAAAATTTATTAATAAATTATCAGAAAATTTTAATTCTGAAGTGAACTAATCCTTTCAGTGCACTGACCTGCTCTTTATTTATTAGTCGAGAAATGTACAAATTCTGTTCAATTCCGCGCTATAAAGAGAATTGTGTTTTTATAACCGGATTAAACTTTGCTATGTGTGAAATGTGAGCTTGAGGCTTGGATCCGGCGCGCTGGTCGATGTTCTGTGTGATCGTGCAGTGATCGGCCCTGCGAGCGTGTGTGTGTGTGTGTGTGAGGAGGTGTGTGTGTTCTGACCATGGACCTCCAGCACGTGCTTGGATCCGGCGCGCTGGTGCAGCTGGTCGATGTTCTGTGTGATCACCACCAGCGATCGGCCCTGTCGGCTGAGCCGAGCCTCACACTCGGCGATGGCCCTGTGAGCGGCGCTGGGCTGGGCCTTCACACACAGCTCTCGTCTGTAGTGGTAAAACTCCCACACTGTGCTGGGGTGACGGGAGAACGACTGCGGCGTGGCCAGATCCTACACACACACACACAGGCTCAACACTGGACTGCACTTTCTTTTTCCTGAGAATGATAGTGTAATCGCATTGGACTTTTTGAACAACAGGGTATAACGATTTCCCAAAGATGGTCGATAATGTTTTTGGTGTTTTTCCTAAACCTTGTTACTACAAAAAAAAGTCTGTCAACGTATGCACTGTAAAAAATATTTTCAAGATTTGTTATCACAACATTTTTTCTTTTGTCAAATCAACTTTATAATAATTTATTTAGTTGAGATAACATATTATTTTGAGTTTCTGATGATTAAATGAATCTCCTTCATTGTATTAACTCACTTTTTCTAGTTCAATCAACTTAAAATTTTAAGGCAACCAGGTTACTTACTTTTTTAAGTTAAACCATCAATAATTTTTTACAGTGGTAGGAACGAGACATTGGGAACCTATGGCTGCACGATTAATCGAATTTTAATCACGATTTTGACTTCCCACGATCAAATTCGTGTGATCGAGCGATATTTAATCGACCGTTCACAGTACACTCCGTATCAAAGGTTTTTTTTTTGCAAAGCCAATCTAGCGCTCCGTCGACGAAAAAGTTAAGAAACCAAACATCGAGCCGAGCAGTTCGCACGTGACTTATGAAGTTTTGTAGAATTGCATTTGTAAATCAGGATTTTTTTAAATGCGATGCGAATGTTACTAAAGTCACATTTTCAGTGATGCTGATTGAAATTTCTTTTATAAAAAATATATATCACATTACCGATGCAGAATATACAGATTTGAAGTGCTTGAACATATAGCTGATGAAAATATCTAAGATGTTGACTTTATGTGGAGTGATGAGGAAGGTGGAGATGTAAGAAAAATATCCGTATTTAAAACTTTATAAAGTACAATAACGTCCGGCCAAACGAACATACGGATTTGACTTAGATCTAAAGCGCAACTTAAATATTTTATTTTAATATATATTTTTTATGGACAGATGCACTTTTATGATGGACAGATACCATGGATACTAGATGGATAGAAATGGTATACTGCTGAACATTTTTTGACCTTGAGAAAAAGCTTAAAGTATAGACCAACAAATTTTATGTTTATTAATTTATTTCATGTTGGTACATTTTTGGGAAGTACACCTGTTTTGACCTGACGTCCATTGGAATGGAAAAAAAAATCACAATGAAAGCAATTATATATGAAGAGTTCAGATGCAAAAGCCTCTAAGTGCCATTTGAAATTTTCTTCTTGAAGGATGATTTTGCTCAAACTTGTATATTTAAGTTCAGTAATTTCACTTAAATGACAATGAAAATTACCTATTAATTGTTATTTAAGTGAAATTACTGAACTTAAATATACAAGCTTGATAAAAACCATCATTAAAGAAGAAAATTTCAAATGGCATTTAGAGGCTTTTGCATCTGAACTCTTCATATATATATATATATATTTTTTTTTTTTTCATTTGGTCTCATTTATAGAAGCCTCATGAACTGGGAAAATGTACTTTATATTTTTCAGAAACTTGAAACACATTTCAGGTCTGAGGGGGTTTCCAGAATCTGTGGTATGTGATTTATTTACATTTCTGATTGTCAAATTGTGTAAAGACGGCTGATGCGCACACTCTGTGTGTGTGTGTTACCTGTGTCTTCCAGGTCCTCCAGTGTCCTTCAGCTCCTCTGATAGTTGGTACTCCACTCTCTGCACTCACTCCTGCTCCAGTGATGATGGCGATCTGACGCGCCTTAGAGAAAACCTCTCGAAATTCTGCCATATCTACACACACACACACACCTGTATCATAGTTTACTTGTATCATATGCGTTTGAGAGTTGGTGATATGAGGGCTGGGTGATATGTAAAAAATACTTTATCAATAATTGCCTTTAAAAATATCTAATACTACTATTCTAACCCTAATAATTAGAATAGAAAACATTTAACTTGCCGTGTACGTGACGTCACGCACCTGAGTGTGTCCGGGTGAGTTGATTGACAGCTGTCCATCTCCCGCAGTGAGCAGCTGCCCTCAACATCAGCTGATTCACCATCACTTACTGAGTGTTGGTCTGTCACACACACATATGTATATCAATGTGTTTACACACTCATATAACAACTCTCAAGTTCCTAAGATCAAGTTAACTTATTCCAGCGTTAAACACAACACTAAATCCAGCAGCAAACCGAATGTGATTATATTGCAGGACACAGTCAGACAGTTGAGCTGCACAGAAACAACTCAATAAATCAATCGTCATCACACCGCAGAAGAGCCTCATTTGAACGCATTAGATCTTAGACATCGAGCTGAATTTATGACTGCTGCCCGTGATCCACATACAGATATACATTCGTAAGAAGAACTGATAATAACTCAAATAATAATACCTTTATCGACGCCACACGTGAAAATGCGCTTTTCTGGCGTCCTACTACCGTATAGTATGTAAACATGTCGTAAAGTGTGTACACGTGTCGCAAAGCGCGTCTGTTTGTTTCTATGGTGATGATGGGCTCGGCTGAAGCCATAGATATATACACTAGACGTCACCTTGGCTACGGCAGTTCATTGGAACGAATGCGTCAATAGAGCCGCCATCTTGAAACAGGGGAGCCCCTCCACTTTAATGCATCAGCGTCAATGTAGTAGACACAGGTCTAACGCAAATAAAATCACCATAAATTATCATAAATGCGATTTTTCTTGTTTTTTTGGTTTGTTCCAACGGTCAGACATGTATTTATCATTGATTCCAGAATTTTTTTTTTTTTTTTTTTAAACATTCTTCCTAGTTCAGATTTCATCCGTGAACTTCATACGCTGGTTCTTTGTGGAATAATAAGTTTATCCTTATTAATAGGAAATCAGTGTTTTTTCAGGACTGGATGGATAAAGGTGTCTGGTCCATTGTACACATTATGGATGGGGAAGGGAATTTCCTTAGTTATGAGAATTTTTGTGAAAGATATAATATTATTTGCACTCAGAAATTATATGCATCTTTGTTAAAAGCTGTTCCTGGTGGTTTGGTTCAGTTGGTCAAAGGTGCAATGTGTTATTCACCTGTGATTCCGAGAATGAAAAGTTTAATCATCTCTGGTCTTGATTTTACAGAGGAAGGTTGTAAGATTAAAGTGTTAAGAACATTGGTAAATGTAGAGACTTTCCCTTGTAAAGTTAAAAATAGACCTCTTGTATTTGATTTCCCAAAAGACAAAGTGGGTCAAATTAGAACAAGATTTCTTACATTTCCTCTTTTTCCAAAGGTAAAAGAGGTTCAGTTTAAAATTATTAATGATATTTATCCTTGTAATGCTTTCCTAAGACACAGATTTAATATGGATTGTAATGAGTGCACCTTTTGTGAAGCGGATATAGAGTCGTTGGAACATTTATTTTTTTTATGCAAATTCTCAAAGAAATTCTGGGATGACCTTTATAATTGGTTAAGATTGAAATATGAAATACCTGACTTTAATTTTAAAACTATAAAATATTTGTCTTTGTCTTTGAGTTACGATCTTGAATTTTTGGTGAACAATATTGTGCTGTTGGCCAATTACTTCATACACAAATGCAGATTTTTTAAGAACCCTCCCACTTTCAGTCTCTTCCATAAAGATTTAATGATCTTCTTCAAAGCTCTAAGACTGGTGCATAACAAAAAAGCCCTTAAATTATTTAATCTTCTGAAGGTTTTGTTTGATGATTCCCCCCTTGTGTAATATTTTATTTATTTTACTTGTTTATTTATGTGTTCTTACATGTTTTGTGTTCTAATTTTATTTATTTATTTTTACATTTGTGGTGTTCATGTATTTTATGTTATTTTTTTTGTGCTGCTATTTGGACTGTTTTGTAATCATCTAAGATTTGTATCTTGATGTTTGTTGGTGTTTTGTATATTTTTTTGAGCAATTAAAAAAAAAAAAAAAAAAAAAAAAAAAAAAAAAAAAAAACTTCATACGCTGCACAAAAGTCCGCCACCATCAATGAATTCGAAGTAAAGGCAGAGATAGCAGCGTTACCTAGCTACTTCCTATGACAAGACCCCTGTTCCAAGATGGCGGCGGTTTTGACGCATGCTTAGAACCCCCAGGTGACGTCTAGTGTATATGTCTATGGGCTGAAGCGGTAGCGGAAGATCCATGACTTTTTTTTTATGTTTTTTTTTTTTTATTGCAACATAGAATATACAAAGAGATTTACATGACAATACAGCTCACAACAAATAGAAAATAAAAAAAGGAGAAAAAATCATGCCAGGGGTAAAGTTACAATAATTTAAAGTTACAAAATACTTCATAGGTCTTTCTTGCTTTTTTGTTCTTAATTTTATCTAATGAATTACCATATAGTTTAATCTCTTTCATAAAGTGTTCAAAGCTTGGCTTAGCTTTAGCCCATTTTTTCACATGAATGTGATATTTTCCAAGTAATATGAAAAGTTGTATAAGGAAGCACATGGTACTTTTGGAGTCAATATTGTCCTGTACAAAAAAAATACAACATCAAAAAGCTCAATTCGTAGACATGTTTCAAACAACTTAGAAATGAAATTTGAGACATCCAACCAAAACATTTTTGAATAAATACAATTAAAAAAAAAGATGAGTTACAGATTCATTGGCATTGCCACAAAATTCGCACAAGTTTTCAATATTCAAATGGAAACGTTCAGAAAGTAATTCCTTGACAGGGTAAATTCTGTGTACAATTTTATATGAAACCTCTCTAATTTTATTATTAATACAAAACTTACTGGAAGATCCATAACACTGCAGAGTCAAACACGAGTTTTTATCTATGTGGCAGCAGAACAAAAATCACCATAATTTTGACATAAAAGTTGAAAACATTACATTCACACTTGTTTCTAGGATCCCAGTCAATCATATTTAACTGTAAAGCGGTAGCCATTTAATACTCTGAAGAAAAAATAATAATGTAATTGTGCAAGATACTCATTTTTGTTACATTACTTCATAGCGGTTTTTTTACATTCATTTATTTTTATGAAATTATTTTAATCAAATCTATTAATTCTTTATTTATTTATATACAATTTCATTTTAATATATTTGTCTATTTGGTTACTTAGTTGAATCTTTTTATTTGTTTATTTATTACATTTTTACACATCCGCTTTTCTTCTTTGTTTAAATTAAGTTGTCATCAAATGCATTTATTTTTATTTCTTAATTACAAGGAAAGCAGGAAGTGCTGCACGGGGTGTAACTTTAGTGTCTTCTGTGTAACTGGTTTCTGCTGTGATTTTTTATTTTTTGGTTTCTGCTGTGATTGTGTGCATCACACACACCCTGATGACGCGTTGCTTGTAATCCGAAATAATAAAGGATTTTTATAATTTTCTAAAAAGTAGTACTTGAGCTTGAGTGCCTTGGATTGCTATTTCTTATGGATTTTTTTAAATCTAACTTTATTTATTTTAATCCTTTTTATTTAGCCTAGTTGTATTAAGATTTGTATTTATTTTATTAATTTAACCAATTGATCATTTCAATCATAAATCCATTGTAGTATTTACTTATTTCTAAGTTTCTATTTTTTTTAAAATCTAATTATGTATTTATTTATTAGTTAGTTTAATCCAACTCATCTTTCTAGTTCCATGACGCTGTCACGTGTTATATGTTGCTTGTCTCAGCGCGGGTCGGGCTCGACCAATCATGCGGAGGCGATCGCAGAAAAACGTTTTTTATTTATTTATTTTTAATGACAACAATAATAATTTCATTTATAGAAATTGAAATGGAATTGATTTATATTTGTAAGTGAGTTGCCAGTCCTCGAAATGTATTATTCCATATATTCCTACACAAAGCTCGAGCGCTGACGGTGTGTCTGTGTTTTCGCTCTCGAGCGCCTGCTGGAGGAGCAGAGCGTGACGTGTGTCTCGGTGTAACCGACAGCAGCAGCAGCTCGAGCTCTAGCTCGGTGTGAGTGTGTGTCCGCAGGCAGATGGAGGGCGATGGACGCCGCGCGCCGCTGCTCCGCCACACCGGGAGATCCCTCAGCCTCCGCACAGGTACAGATCCCGAACAGCAGCAGGAACACGCCCGTGCCCGACACTGGGGCGGCGCGCCTCAGATGTTGCTCAGCAGCAGCAGCAGCATCTCGTGTTGCCATGGTGACCCGCCATAATTTTCAGCTGAGTCAGCGCTACCAGAGAGAGAGAGAGAGCGCGAGGCGAGCGCGGGAACTGTACTGATGCTGCAGTAGATATATCCAGATAGAATAACACAACAGAGTTATCGAGAGAGATTATGTGTGTGTGGGTTGATGAGTAAAGGCGTGCTATGATATGCAGACCAGTGTGTGTGTGTGTGAGTGCAGGTCGTCAGCTGTGCAGTAGTGCAGCTGATCTAGTGCACTAACAGCTACACACACCGGATAATCTCCATCAGATGACACTGGTTAAAACATCATTAGACCTGGCCGTTCGTAAAGTCTGGCTTAAGTCCATGCGAGAGGTTTAGTAACAAATTATATACTTTATTCGGTTCTTAAAGGGATAGTTCACCCATAAATAAAAATATTCAAAATATCTGTGTTCTAGAATTGTCATTTTTGGATACTATCCAAGCGATGTCGGGTGACGTGACTTCTTGTTGACGTTTAAAGTATTTTCAAACAAAACGGAGGCTAGATTAACCCTCCCTCCTCCTCATCCGCGCACTGACCCCCCAAACCCCACCCCAGGGCCTTCTTGTCAGTGATTGGCTGGAACAGTTTGTTATGTTTTGTGGACGGGTTGCTGCAGTTTGTTTTTATTGCCATTTGTGGAGCCTGCGTTGTCTGCATAGACCGCGTTTTTTACAGTGTGTTTAGGAGACAGGCAGCTAGCGGATAGTGAGGAGATGTTTGCTGTTTGTGACAAAAAATGTTTGGGCCTAAAAAAACGTGTGACATCGCTTAGAGCACCTTTAAGACAGACTATAGTTTGTAGACAAACACATGAGCAAAAGCTGTGCTGAAATGCCATGAATTTCAGTTTATCCAACGGTAAAATTAGTTTCCTGTGAAATACGACACCACTTTATCATGGATAATTAGTAGGTATTTAAATAACATTCAGAAACTGTATTTTAAATGATTAAGAATCATTAGCCCTATAGAGTGCCGAAGTTATGACGTCATTTTGTTGGCAAAAACGCGAAAGTGATTCGATCAAAAACACTGATTCATCCAGTCATTGAATCATTCACTCAAGAGATTCGATCAAAAACCCTATTTCATCCAGTCATTGAATCATTTACTCAAGAGATTTGATCAAAAACACTGATTCGTCCAGTCATTGAGTCATTCACTCAAGAGATTCGATCAAAAACCCTATTTCATCCAGTCATTGAATCATTCACTCAAGAGATTCGATCAAAAACCCTATTTCATCCAGTCATTGAATCATTCACTCAAGAGATTCGATCAAAAACACTGATTCATCCAGTCGTTA